CAAAAAAATAAGAAATCAGGAAGGGGGCCAACACTTTTTCACACCACTGTATGTATGTATATATATATATATATATATATATATGACATACCAAACAAAAACAGTCATAATAAACAAGGTTTAAAAATATATAAAAAATGTAAAAAATTTAGTTAAGAAGTACACACACACACAAAAAAAAAAATAAAAAAATAAAATTGCACATAAAAAATTACAACATTCTCCACCAAAGGAACTTGTAAGTAGTGTCTTTACCTTTTCCTCTGGACAGGCGTGGGGTGGAGCCAAGGTGCTTCCTGTCATTGGCCCACTCGTTGTACTTATATGATGGGGTTGGTAGAGGAGTTTCTGCTGGATACTGAGGTTTACTTGACCTGAACAACAAAAGTGACAATGTAACATCTACTAGTACTCCTTCTGACAACACAAACCACGTCAGCACAAATAACCTTCAACGTTAATCACTGAGGCTCGGATGAAGTGATTCACACCTGTCTCTCCTCTCACTGTCGCGGACTGAGCGTTGGCTGCGCTCGGAGCAGTGTGAGGGGGCAGGAGACGGGCTCTCCCAGTGAGAGTGGCGTGAGCTGGTAAATCCACTGTCATCCTCATCCCAGCTGGAGCGTGACGGAGTGGCCAAATCTGTGTGGACATATGAAACACACTGGATTCATCATTTACCCAAACAGGACAAGTTGCCTAACACACTTGTAGGTCCTGGAACAGTACTGCAGCTTTTGAAACACCAATCAGATTTTGGATACTGAGGTTTACTTGACCTGAACAACAAAAGTGACAACACAAACCACGTCAGCACAAATAACCTTCAATCCAACGTTAATCACTGAGGCTCTGATGAAGTGATTCACACCTGTCTCTCCTCTCACTGTCACGGACTGAGCGATGGCTGCGCTCGGAGCGGTCATACTCCCGGTGTGACGGGGCAGGAGACGGGCTCTCCCAGTGAGAGTGGCGTGAGCTGGAATATCCACTGTCATCCTCATCCCAGCTGGAGCGTGATGGAGTGGCCAAATCTGTGTGGACATATGAAACACACCTGACCCATGATTAACCCAAACAGAACAAGCTGCCTAACACACTTATAGATCCCGGAACAGCATTGCAAATTTTGGAACACCAATCAGATTTTAGGTTTACTTTTATAGTTAGGATCGCACAATTTAGGGAGAAAAAAAATATCTAAATGAGATTTTTTTATTTCTTTTTTATTAATAAAATGCGATTTAAAAATCCAGATTAGATCTTTTGTGTGTAGTAGGGATGTAACGGTATGAAAATTTCATATCACGATTGGGTTACACAATTTGGTCAAATATTTGTGATTATATATTAATCTGGCTAAATAATAATAATAATAATTATTATTATTATTATTACAAAATAAACATATCAAAATTATTTACATTTTATTAAATAACAACAAAATAAGAAATAATAATATTGGAACATTCCACTGTAAAGTATGTAAGAAAAAAATTAGTTAATTTTAAAAAATGAGTATTCAAGAAAAATAATACAATAATAATAATAATAATTTTATTTTACTTTACATTACAACTGCAAAACTACAATACTAATATTTATGCATGTCTTAAAACTATCTAACTTTTATTTTGATGGAAAACCACAGAAAGCCCTTAAAGTTTCTCTTTTGTTGATAAACCCAAACTCAAACAGCAAAAGTTAGTGTGGAGTCGCTCCGAAACTCTGAAGATTCTGGGTCATAAGCTGTTCACGTGTAAAACTGTCACGCTTCACTCAGGCAGCTCATGTAAACTATCGAAGTACAGCACAGTCTTTCGATTTGATTATTGCACTAAGCCATATTGCGATTTCAGATTTATTTCAATTACTTATGCAGCCCTAGTTAGGGTGCAGCTAGGGTCGGATTTGGGGGCTTCAACAACATTCTTCTCAACTTATTTCCCTCTAGTTCCCACATTAGGTTATAGTTCAAGTTAGGAATGCATGCATAATATGCAACAGGAAATGTTCTACTTGGGTTAATCCCAGGAATCAATAACAAAAGTAACAAAACTGACATTCAGTAGTGCTAAAACTGATCAGGGTAGTGTGTCCTGAACACATCTGGGAACGCGTGACTGACCTTTGGATCTGTTGTGGGGTGATTCGGGCTCATCGCGGCGAGTACCACGACTCATGCGGTCGGACGAGCCGTCCCTCTGCGAGCGTTCACTCCTCACGCTGCCATCACCGCGCTCAGAGCGACTGCTGCTTGAGCCACGGCCGCGGCTGCTTTCCCGTTCATCTGCACAAAGCCCATAAAACCAAGATCAGAGTCAGAAATTCTGTGGTGGGATCTCTCAGGCCGAGAGCACCTGATTTACCTCGGTCTCTCCTTCTGTCTCGGTCACGGTAGCGATCGTGGTCTCTGTCCCTGTCTCTGGATCGGTCTTTGTCTCTGCTCTTGTCTTCTTTGGAGGACGCATAAACCCCATGCTCACGTCTGTCCTTCTCCCTCTGTTGATGCTTCTGCTTGAACTCCTCACTAACCCCTCCTGGGTTTGAGGGTGTTTCTGAGCCAGTGACACGGTACTTCCTGTAGAAGCATGTAACACATAAACTCATGACTGCATAGCATTTATTTACATGCTTAAGATGAGAGGTATTAGGAATTTTCTGGATTAAAAAAAATGATGAGAAAAGATTATAAACTAAATAATAGTTTAAAATACATAAGAAAATATAATTACAACAATAAGAAAAAGAAGAAATAAGAAAAAAATAAATATAGAATTTGGGAAGTAACTCACTGGATCTCGTGTGGATTTGTTTTTAATTCTGTTCTAATGTTAATGAACTTGGAGATTTCTAAATGAGCTGATGTTATTCATTTGCATAAAACACGCCAAAACCATCTCCATATAAGCGCTTTCAGCACAACTTTTCCTTTTCAGCCTTTCGTCACATCCTCAAAATTCAGTAACATTGATACACTTTTAACGTCCTTGCACACCGAGTCCAAAATTCGCGTCCGAAATGTTTCCACGTTAAAAAATAAATACAACCTCACGTTGTGTCAATCACGTTTACACACTGCCTCCAAAACTTTTGTCGGATCAGGTGCAATTTTCTGTGTTTTTTTGCATCCGTAGCATTGACACAATGTGAGGTCGTATTTACTTTTTAATGTGCAAAAACTTTTGACAAGAATTTTGGACTCAAGAGTGCAAGGACCTTTATAGTTTTTGTTAAAATTTTGGATTAATATTTACATTTTTATTTTCATTGATTTTTTTTTAATGTCTACATAGTTTTTGTTTTAGTTTATTCAGTTAAAATAATTCAGTTTATTTCAGTAAAAAGCTGATTTTTTTTTTAAATAATTCATTTTTGTTTCATTTTTGTTTTGTTTTCTGCATTGTTAAACAGTAAAACCCCGCAGATCGAGCTGCTATAATGAATCTTTTGTTACTCGTTCACTATATGTGAAGAAATTAATTTAATTTTGGGCATACAATCTGTGTACAAACTAATTATGCTTAACCAATAACTTTTTAATAACTTTTAAATTTATGGAACAAAAATGTAGAAACAACTGAAACAACATGACAACAATGTCATATTAAAGGGGTCATATGATGCGATTTCAATTTTTCCTTTCTCTTTGAAGTGTTACAAGCTCTTGGTGCATAAAGAAGATCTGTAAAGTTGCAAAGACTAAAGTCTCAAATCCAAAGAGATATACTTTATAAAAGTTAAGAGTCAACCACGCCTACCTAAAACGGCTCGTTCTAACACACCCCACATGTCTACGTCACGATGTGAGAAGATTTGCATAACGCCGCCCAAATATTCACGCAAAGAAAGAAGGCGTAACTTATATTCTCGCTGTAGTATTGTTGAGCTACTTTGTTTGGTCTTCCAAAAGAGGACGATATCCGCTTCGTCATGCCTAGAGCTGATCTGTGCTGGTCGCTGAGGGAATACATCAACTTAGTGCTGTGGATCGCCGGATTGGCTTTCACCGTTTTCACCGCTCCTTTGCCGGGACCGCCGTTCTCGACCCCGCCGCCTCAGCTCACTCTTGCCCGGCTTCAGCTCAGGCTAAGCCGGGGCTTTCGCTCACGCTAGGCCGCTGTGTTTTTCGTTGTGAAAGCGAAACTACTTTGTTTGGTCTTCCAAAAGAGGACGATATCCGCTTCGTCATGCCTAGAGCTGATCTGTGCTGGTCGCTGAGGGAATACATCAATTTAGTGCTGTGGATCGCCGGATCGGCCCTCACCGTTTTCACCGCTCCTTCGCCGGGACCGCCGTTCTCGACCCCGCCGCCTCAGCTCACTCTTGCCCGGCTTCAGCTCAGGCTAAGCCGGGGCTTTCGCTCACGCTAGGCCGCTGTGTTTTTCGTTGTGAAAGCGAAACTACTTTGTTTGGTCTTCCAAAAGAGGACGATATCCGCTTCGTTATGCCTAGATCTGATCTGTGCTGGTCGCTGAGGGAATACTTCGACTTAGTGCTGTGGATCGCCAGCACATTGTATGGAGGACTGTTTTCTGATCCTGGGAGAGTTACGTTAGACTAAAATGGCGGCAGTTCTGACTCACGTAAGTACGTTTTCTTTTTTCATTTGCCACTGATGATTCAAACGCGGGTTTTGGGCAGTGTGGATTAACGTTAGCACTTGTTGTTTGTCATTTCTCTGATCACAAATGCAGACAGGGTTTTATGTTTACGCGGCGCAACGTAACGCGTAAAAAGACAGTATAAGTCATTATAATCCGTAATTATGTCCCCACTGGATGCAACAAATGCCTCGTTTGTAATGGGTTTTAATGTTTTTGTCTCGTCGCTCCGGCCGGACAGGGCATCACAGTATGGTAGGGGCGTAACATTTCTGTCACACGCTTGAGGCATTCGGCCAATCACAATGCTGCACTGGATAGCTGGCCAATCACAGCTCACCTCGCTTTTTCAGACCGATGAGTTTTGTAAAAATCGACGCGTTTCAGAAAGAAAGGCCATAGAGGAGAAACAATAATGTACAGTATGTGGAAAATAATGTGTTTTTTGAACCTTAAACCGCATAAACACATTTCATTACACCAAATACACAAAATAATGTTCTTTTCAGCAGCATCATATGACCCCTTTAACACGGTTATAAGGCCACCCACAGTATGTGATTTTTGTTTCAGTTGTTCCTACGACAATTTTTCATAGATATAGAATACATTTAAGTATAAACATTTTAGTGAATGAGACTCACTATTCTTGAAAAAAAAAAAACTTGTCTCTGTAATGCAAATTATTTTCTTGATGAACAACCCACCTTTCCTTTTTCCCATTCCTGCTATCGCCATCTTCTTGATTTTCATCATCAGACCCCGAATCACTTTGTCCCTCCTCCCAGTCCTTGTAGGACGACACCTTGGATTTCTTGGGTTGATCATCCAGACTTTCCTTGCCCTCGCGCTCCTTGCGTTTCTGTGCGGCCAGCAGATCGAGGCCCAGGAGCGAGGTGCGTGGAGCGGGAGCTCTGAACACATGCTGTTCTGTCGAAGCACTCTTCTTCTTCACTATCAGCCCCCCGACCTGAACACTGGGGTCACTCCCTTCCAGTCGATGCAGGGAGGAATCATCTTCCATCTCTGGCAGGGTCTTAACCACAGCTGATGGATTTCCGGTAAAGTATCTAAAAGAGGTTGCCAAAAGTTACTAATTTGGGCCAAAAACACATTTTTTTTGATCTAGGTAAACACATGCTGATAAAACATGACATTAATATGATTACATGTGATTTAGGATAAGTCAAAAACTGGAAAATGTACGTTTAAGTGTTAACTTGTCATATAAATTTGTCTAAAATGGCCCTAAACAATTCAAGCGGCAAGTTTTGCCACATGCCACTACAAAAGGTCATTTCTAATACTGATAGTTCCTGCTGATGGTTAAACGGCTGATTGATGTAACGTTAAGTTACATGATGAAGCTCTTTATGTTTGCTATTGTAACTTACAGCAGTAACGTACTGTGTGAAACTCCTCATTCATAAGAGGAAAAAAAACGGGTTTACCTTTCGAACGATATCCTCAGATGCCAGTCATATAAGTTCCTCAAACCTGTTCTACACAGTATGATAAAACTTGTGTAATGTATGATATAATAACAATACTCAATGAAATAGCATAGCGGTAAACGTCAACTATGTGTACAGTAGGCCGCCATTACTATCCCAGCATTCACAGCCTAGTGACGTCCCATCCGATTCCTGAATGAATCACTATTGGGAACCGGCTGTTTCAAACGATTCATTCAAGCGTTCGTAAATTATTATACGAACCGGCGAAATGTCGCACTTCATTGCGTTTTTAGATTTACGAAGCTCATTGAAAACGTGTTGATAACAGCATGTTAAACAAGTGCTGCTCGTGGACGCCTGGAAACATTTTTGCGTGATGACTAGCGAACTGGTGAATTATCTTTTTAACCGATTCAAATGAAACGATTCGTCCGAAAGAACCGATTCACTTCAATGAGTCAGATTTAACAACTTCAAAACATTTCTTCCTCACATGAATAGTTTCACAGCATATTTCATTATTTTAAATTTCATTCATTTATTTTAATCTCTTTTCTTGAAAGTGTGTGAAAGCACAGAATCACACAAATTATTTTATTTCTATGCCGCGCAAAGGCACCGGTTCAGTTACGTTACTGGCATACTTACAGTGAATCATATGCATTTAGTAATTATTTTTTTGCGAAGCTGCTTGCAACAATCTTGTAACCACACAGAGTGAAGACAAACCTAAATCATTTTAATCATGTTTATTGTAATCATGTAGTGCCATAACTCATGCCGTTCAAAAGTGTACTTCATTTTTTAAGCACAAAATGATTTTAAATTAAGTAAAATTTAAAATATACAGAAATAACCAGTAACACATGCACGGTCAAATATTGTCTGCACTTTGAACCATCCAAAAACACTTTAGCACTAATACCTACCCATTTTAAGTTCAAATGCATCTCCCTGATTTTGTCCAAGTCTAAAATACCATATACAAAGAATGATTACATACTGCACAAATACATTTGCATTTTTAAACATTTATTGAAACCTTTAACAAACACACACTGATTCAGTAAGTCAGTCGTATTCACGATGACATACCACAAATAATCCTAATCTGACAGATAAATTAGAATTTGTAATTAAATATATGACATTGAGCAATAATAAAGGTCTTGAACTCTGATTGTTCCTGTTGTTGAACTAAAAGAGCAGATAGGGATCTATAGACTAACACGCTTGTTCTTTTCCCACTATAATTAAATTATGATGACATTAATATGCGAGCCAATGGAAAAAAAAAAAAACTTGACAATGTCATCAATAACTATACATATAAAATGCACACAAACATGAACATCAATCGTTAGACATAGCTGAACACATTGACTCGGCCTGGCAGGAAAATAATTAATTTGCACATTTCTTGGGGCAGGAATGTAAAAGGCAAACACAAATATGACACTCGGAATAAAACTCAGAAAAAAAAAAAAGAAAAAAAATCTACGAAGAGAAATGGTTTGTATCAGCCAATAGTAATGATGCATGAGGATTATTAAAATATATGACTACATTAATGCATAATGACTCACTCAATGCGTTTCATTAAAAACTATTTAAATGCAATATTGTTTGGAAAAGAAATGCAAGATTTAATAACAAGTACAGAAAAGAAGCAAACAAAAGTAGACATTTTGGTTTACTTATACTTTTGAACGTTGAACGTTACGGGCAACACTTGCATATGATGATTTTTCATGACCTGACCTAATGCCAGTAGAGCTAGAATATACATGCAAGTGCTTGAAATGCTAAGAACAATTCATTAGAGAAGCATATGCATAAGAGTAATGAACAGGTACTCTACAAGCTGTACAACAGTTCATGTATCAAACACTTCCCAAAACTAATGTTCTTACCGACATTGAAATAAATTGTTAAAAAAACAACAACATTTAAACATCTCTCAAATGCATTACAAAAAGGCTGAATAATGGAGTCGATTTCAAGTTTGCAGATACAGGTACCACACTATAGAAATCTTCATTGTAAGAAAGAAGCGTAAAATGTAACATTAAAGCACTGTATGACTGTAATTCTATGCTATCTTTCAGCAATTGCACATTCATGCAAAAGTGATATGACAACATTTGAAACAATGACAATATTTTCGAGTTCTCCTTATAGGGATAGTTCACCCAGAAATGAAAATTCTGCCATCATTTACTCACCCTCATGTCTGTTTGACTTTCTTTCTTCTGTGGAACATCAATTTTTATTTTTTTTCCCCCCTCCATACAATGGAAGTCAATGGTGACCAAAACTTGATCATCTTAAAAATATCGTTATTTTGTGTTTTTCACAGAAGAAAGAAAGTCATACAGGTTTGGAATGACATGAGGGTGAGTAAATGACAAAATTTTCATATTTGGGTGAACCATCCCTTTACACCATGTTGTATTTAAAACAGCAATGTCTTTATAATAGCATGACTCCACGCTCTTCTCTTGGAGATGTACTGTATCTTTCAACTCCACTTGAATCGTATGGTCAAAATCCTTAGGTAATAACCCAAGGCAATTCACTGACAAACATCAATTAGCAGCTATGTGAAGGCTGTGGACGTGTGATTTGTCAAAATGATCAGAGAATTCAAATCCATTAGCAAAAGTCGGACCTGTCCTGAAGGGCCTGATCTTTTCAACTACACTCTAGATTAATTTAAAGGAGTTGAAGTAATTTCCAAGTACATTTCTAAAAAAGTGTGACAATCCGATGACAGAAAGCGTGATCAAGATAATGCTGCAGGTTAGACAGGACTGTGAATTCTGGTAGAAAAAAAAAAAAGTTGAAATGAACCAATGGGCTTTGGACTTTTTCCAAATAGCTAGTTGAGTGGAAACTAAAGAAAAGAGGATGAGCAGGAGCTTAGAGAGTGATCTTGCTGACTCACTCACTCAAACAAGTCAAGGCCTCCAGACAAGAGAAATATATATCGGTTTTTACAAAGTTTTCAGGATTTCAGGAGGATTTGTGTAGTAACATGTAGTAACGGTACATGATGCCCACGAGTACAGCAGCTACGGTGGGAATCAACCAGGTGGTCCATGACCTGAACAAATAACAAACAGTTGTTTAAAAAAAAAATAAAAAAAATAAAAAAAGCATGAGTCCCATAGTTTACGCAGAACATATTCTGAATTCTCACCTGGAGTCTTTGCAAGTGGTGATGTAAACTTCCTAGAACAGAAATGTGATAAAGCGAGCAAACATTAACAAACTGCAACAACTTTTACATGACAGTCAATATGTTTGCGCATCAGTCACAAAGGTCAAGGTATTTTTTTTACATTTATTTTTTACCTTTTTTGATTCTTTCTTTCGATCATCCTGAAACGGATAAATAGGCATTATTAAAATTCATGACTTTACACATGCTTGAAGACACAGACTAGATTAGGGACAACTAATCGATAAAATCACTAATAACCAATAATAATAAAAAATAAAAATAAAAACTTAATCAATTAATGACATCTGCGTGTGCATGGAAAACATCCACGGTTTACGTTCTTTTACTTCAGAGAATAACACATTTCTATGGAAAGTACACATTTAAAAAGGGCACAGAGTGAACTACTGTAGGAAACGTACATGGTCCAAGTAATCCTAAACTTGAGAAAGCTTCATATATTAAGCTTCAAACAAACTCATAAGCATTTAATATATTTGAGACATGTTTTCCTCCGCACAGAACTTAAATTCGACATTAGAGCAATAGAAATCCATTCCAGTATTTCCAGTTTGCATAAAGGCTCGTCCTGGCAGCGAGTCTCAAACTCAATTTTAAATATCACAAACTTCAATTTGCACACTGTTTGGACAATACTGAGCGAGATGTAGAATCACTTTTTGTTTTATAAAATACCAAAACATAAAATTTGGATTTTTTAAATCGGATTAATCAGACATAATCGATTATCAAAATAATCGTTAGTTGCGGTCCTAGACTAGATGATTATTTTCACAAAAATGTCACGTACAAGTACGAACAAAACTATGGAAGCCCGTTTCCGCCACTGAATAAAAAATAAGAGGTAATTGCGACTTTTTATCTCACAATTCTGACTTTTTTTCTCAGAATTGCGTAGTATAAACTCACAATTGCGAGTTAAAAAGTCATAAATTGTGAGATAAAACCGGGCAATTCTGAGAAATAAAGTCAGAATTGCGTGATATAAACTCGCAATTGCGAGACATAAAGTCGCAATTCTGAGAACATAGTCTTTTCCCCCCCTCAAAATTCGACTTTAACTCGCAATTGCGAGTTTATATCACGCAATTCTGACTTTATAACTCGCAATT